AGCACTCCCCCTGCCTCACCTGGGCAGCACCTGCCCCCTCCCTCACCCCTGCCACACCCCTTCCCTCCCCCCCTCCCTTTCCACCACACCAGACTTACCATCTGGAGGTAGCTATATTGGAAATCAGATCAGTATTGGCTGATATACCTCCTTAAATATCAGGTATCAGCCCCAAAAATCTCTATCAGTGCACTTCTAATTTTATGTAGGGCTTATTGTGGGTTTTAAGAGGTAAATTAGATGAGTATAACAACATCCTTTGTGTGTTACATTGAGTAATCTGTATAATACCAGTTGTGGTATATGCTGCGCTCATCTCGTATGCCAGATGAGTAGTGCAGGGCCAGTCTGTGGGCTGGACTTCAAGTGAAGCATCATGTCACCTGAATTCCAGCAGGGCTAGAATTTGGTGGTTGCTCCCTTCGTTTTTGGCCCTGTGGGCCAGATGACATGGCTCCACAATCTGAACCTGGCTTGTTGGACTCTCCACGGGTCCAGAAATCTGGCAGCAGGATGAACAGGGGCTGCGTTAATTGCTGTGGCTCTACAAGCCTTTGCAATTAATATGGCTGCTGCTCACCATGCTGCCAAATTGCTGGACCCATGGGAAGTCCTGCAGGCTGGATGATGTGGCTCTGCCAGTGGCGTCTTTATGGCAGGTTAACTTGATTCCCCCATGGAAGAGTCCAGTCTGGTTCAGTTTAATTTTCTGATTTACAAGTTCTTTTCCTAATCTGTTTTCAGCAAAATTGTGATAAAGCTCTTTTTAGCATTCTGTATTTGAGCCCAGTGTTTGGATTATATGGTCCAAACTAATTTACTAGTACAAAACAAGAAAAATATCCTCTTGGGAGATGATCTCATGACATATGGTTTAGGGTAAGATCTTTGTATTGTCAGCATTCTAGATTTCTTTCTATGTACTTGATCTCTCAGAGTCCAGCAAAGACTTCTTTTTTTATTATTAGCGCGAGTAGGAAAAGGATGCTTGGGGGTAATAGTGGTACTCCCATAAGCTGCTTCAATAACTCAGGGTAATTAAAGCAAGATAACTGAATGCCTCCTTAGTGTGGAGTTTGAACAAATGTAACCTTTTATTAGACATCAAATACTTGGTTTTATTTCCACAGCAGTTCAAATGCTTCACCCTCAGAAGGTGCCCCCCTTGCAGGAAGTTATGGGTGTACTCCTCACTCGCTTCCCAAATTTCAGCATCCTTCTCATGAACTTTTAAAGGAAAATGGCTTTACACAACAAATCTACCACAAATACCGTCGAAGGTGCCTAATGGGTAAGACGCTAGATGTATCCATAAAGTTTTAGTTGACAGAAATCAGTTGTTATATAACACTACAGGTTTTTTTTCTACTTTTTTTTTTTCTTTTGCACAATCTTCTGAAAAAAGCAGATTGCCATAATTATATGGTACCTACTGTAACCTTACCCTGAAATGTATGTCATTTTTTATCTTGGATACATTTTGGGACTATTTGCTTTTCATGTAACTTGGATAAAACCTGAGAAAGAAATGGAATTCTTCAGTGATTCTCAACCAGGGGTGCCTTGTGATCCTTTCAAGGATGCTGTATATTGCTAATTAGGGCCGTGCAAAACACCATTGTTTTGTTTCGATGTCCGCTTCACCATTTTGAAGGGACAAGAGTTTCGTCGAAACTGTTTCACTGTTTCAACGTTTCACCCATAGGCTATAAAGGGGAATCATGAAAATGCCTAAAATGTTGTCATTTCATGCCTGATTTAGATAATAATTGCAGGGATGGTAGCCCCTTCTGAGGGCATGAAGCCTGCCAAGTTTCAAGGAGATAGGGGAAGAGATTTCTGGGAAACTGCACCTCAAACTGTTCAAAGCAAAAGTGGTGACACTTGGCAGCAGCAGCAGATTCCTCTCATCTGGCACGCAGATCCAGGGGCCTGCACCCCCAAGAGGGCTGCAGGGCGGTGCTAGATTCCTCCCATGGGTGTGGGCCCTGAGATCTGCTCTAGAGGGCAGAAGGCTGCTGCTGCCACCTGGGACCGGCACTGGCCGCAGCCCATGCCCAGCGCCAGGGAAGACTGATGCTGCCGCTGGCCCCAGGCAGCAGCAGCCTTCTGTCATCCAGTGTGCAGATCTGGGGGCCCACACCCCCAGGAGGAGCCCGGCAGCACTGGGAGGGCAGGTTGAGCTCTGTGGGGCTGGCGGAGCCCGTTTTGAGTGCAGCCCGGAGGTGGGGAGAGCCAGGGCTATGCTCTGCCTCCTGCCGCCAGGCTGAGCTCCATGGGGCTGCGGAGCTGCTCAGACTACAGTCCTGGCTCTCCCCTGCCTCCTGCCTGCTGCTTTGAAACTTGAAACTTTTGAAACTTTCAAAACATTTAGAGTGCTCTCATTTAGTTTTGAAGCTGTTTTGAAGCTTTTTGTTTCGTTTTGATTCCGCTGTTTCGAGCTAGAAATGTGTCAAAACAGCTTCGAAACGAAACACTTGGCGAAATTTCACACAGCCTTATTGGCAATCAGTATTATCACTGCTAGGTGTGCAAGCAAGATTCACAAGGTAAACCCAGGGTTTTCAAAAGGAATCCATAGTGTCAAAAACCCTGTTGTGGTCTGAGTTCTTTGCAAAAGAAGAATTGCTCCTTTATTTTTCTGTAGCCAATTAAAAACAAAAACCTAAGAGCTATCATTTTTCCCAAGGCATGTACAAAGATTGAGAACCACTGGGATAATTGATGCGTATTTGTTGATTTCCTTTTTAAATTAATTGACAAGATTCAGGAAAATCACCATTTATGCCTCTTATGTACTCTGCATTATTTTGTTCCATTTGTGTAAGTGGAAGAAATTTGGTGAGATTTTTAGCTTTTGAGTCTGGGTTTTTAAGGGCTCTGGCAGACATTACATTTCTAGCTTTCTTTAAACATTACATTTATGGTGCTCAGCTGAATGCAAGGATAGCAGCCAGGGTTGGGGGGACAGTTCCTTCCTGTCATCTCCTCTGCTAGATCCTTGGGTCCCAGAACCAGTAGCCCAGTGCCCAATCCCAAGAGGCAGCACCAGGTCCCATGTCCAGAACTGGTGCTGCCCCCTTTCGAGTCACCAGAGGCAGCCCGTGACCTTTAAGGATCCAGGTGCTGGGAACCTGGCATTGGGGACTTGGGTCCCTTATGCTAGGCTCCCTGCACCAGTTGTTGCATGAGTGGGACCTTAGGAATTCTATTTCAAATACCAAAAATGGTGTGTCCTTCTATTTGCATATGGCCCTGTAAGTTCATGTGGATTTTGGGATGAGGCATAAAATTCCTCCGATCCCAATACCTGATAATATTAATGTCTGCCAGGGGCCCCAGTTACTATTTTTGAACAGCATTGATCTTGTTTTAAGTAGGCACCTCAGAGGATGTATTTAACCGATTTTTTTTTTAGGTGAATTAAGAAAATTGGAATTGACTCAGAATAATTTGAAATACTTTTTTTTAAAGTTTAAATTCACACTGAGCTTTTACTGTGCATTACATAAATACTGAATTAAAATGTTTAGTTGTTTTGTCACTGACTTTATATTCTTTTTCCTTTAGAAAGGAAACGTTTGGGAATTGGCCAGTCCCAAGAAATGAACACACTTTTTCGTTTCTGGTCCTTTTTTCTCAGAGATCACTTTAACAAGAAGATGTATGAGGAATTCAGACAGCTTGCTCTAGATGATGCAAAAGAGCACTACAGGTAGTCCATTTGTTCCATAAGTTAGGATTAATTTTGGTTTCTACCTTCCATTTAAAATGTCTAATCCATGTGTGTAACTGAAGGAACCTGACACTTTTTGTAATGGTATCAGTTGATGCTTTCAAAATATTGGTCTATGTACTTCACTTTAACACCAGGTGCTATTTTAATGTACCCAACAAGAATGGAGAGAAAATGTGGTTAGTCAGGTAGGAGCTGGTGATTGTTGCCACACACAACATTAGGCATACAGTATCCTTGGATCTCTAATTATAGTTCATCTTAAACTCTATTACATTAATTTTTGCCAATGTTAATTTAACCCCGTATTTATTTGTGGCAATAAGACGTTACTTCTGCAAGTCAGAATATTCTTACCTCAATTAAAATTAGGGGAAATGTTTCTTGTTCTGCAACTTGACCACAAATTGCCACTCCTTTTTTTTTTTTTAAATATCTCCTGTTTTAGAAAAATGGTCTTTCAGAATTAAAATGTTGATCATCATCTCTTTATTTCCATGATCAAATCAGGAAGCATTGATATGTTTAAGTCCTGACATACTGCGACTGAATGGACATTTTGTCAGGAATGCATAGTACAATTCAGTGGAAGGAACGCAAATGTGGCTCTAATATACTTTTGTATTCATATTTCTGATCTGTCTGTAGTGATTGTCACTAGTTAGGAGACTGCCCCAGCCATGTCCTTTTACCTGGTTAGTAGTATGTTACTATACCTGTTTCAAAGCATATGGTGTGATTTGATCTGAAAAAGATCGAAGGTTTCTTCATTAAATTGTATGCGGATTCACAAACTCCTGCAGTGTCTTACAAGCTACAAACCCATAAACGAGTGAAATTATTTAGGTACGTACCTCTGAAGTGAATATGGATTTGAGCCAAAGATATTTTGCAGAGGGGCATTCATCCCACAGCATTTTTGCTGGATGGAGCTCTATTAATGGACCAGACCTCATTTTTCTAGGTAGTGTACATAGGATGGGTATCAAGGGGCTTTGCTGTAACAGATGCATGTTCAAGATCCTTGGGAGGTGGGGGCGTGGGAAGTCTCCCAGCAGTCAAGGACTACAGAGAAGCTGAAGGCTTTGCTTAGCTTTTACAGATTCCCTCTGACGCTTTCAAAAGCAAGTGACTGACTTGCTAAGAGTGTGGATTATTCCACAAAGTGGTTGTCTCAAACATGAAGAAGAATCTTTAAAGGATGATGTCAACTCTTGGCATCTTGTATATTCCCCATATTCCTTTACTTCAAAGTTAAAACAATCAATCCTGAATTATATAAGGAAAACAACAATCTTCTGCGTCTTCCTTTTTATGTATGCACAGTTGTGGAGACTGAGATACCATCTCAGGACCCACTGTGAACAAAGTTCTTTTCAAAAGAACATTATTTTTAGCTCTTGAATATTTGTATCATCTAGGAAAAACTTAAAATAAGTTAATGAAAAGTGTTGGGAAAGAAATGATCAGATGGATGCCAACTAATTAAACTATAGTATTTTAGTTTTTCTTAACGTGTAAGAAGGACAGAACATGTTGTGAATCCTTTGAGAAATATAATGTGCATTTTAACATAGATTTCTTGAAATCATTGTTCTCTGTTCACAGGTATGGATTAGAGTGTTTGTTCAGATTTTACAGCTATGGTCTGGAAAAAAAATTCAGGCAAGAGATTTTCAAGGATTTTCAAGAAGAAACAAAAAAGGACTATGAATCTGGTAATTCCCAGTTTGTATGAGGTGTTTAAGATATGGAAAATAGTGTTAAATTTACCCACTTAAGTACTTAGCTAGTTTTTCTTTTAAAACTAGCAACAATTCTCTTTTTTTTGTTGTCAGGTCAGCTGTATGGCCTAGAAAAGTTTTGGGCTTATTTAAAATACTCTCAATATAAGACTCTACCCATTGACCCCAAATTGCAAGAATACCTCAGTAACTTTAAGAGATTGGAGGACTTCAGAGTTGATGTAAGTTTTACATTTTGCTTAGCAGATTATTCTATATAAGTGTATTATTTCTAAAGGATTCAATTATTAGGCTGCTTTAGCACCATTCTTCAGGTTTTGTGGATATAAGATTTTGAGAGTCCTAAAATCAACAGACACATTTAACAAATGTGTTTTAAAATTCAATTTGTTGTTGTTGTTGTTAAATATTGCTTTACCAAGTTTCTAGCAGGGTGCTAAAGCCTGGAAGCCATAATGTGAAAGAAAACAATAATGAAAGATTAATCAATTTTCCTTTCTCGGTTGAATAAATATTAATAATAATAATAAATACATTTGTTAAACAGTGAAAGTTTTCTAATTTAGGTTTCTAACAAACATGGATGACAACTTTTTAAACTACCTGTGTAACTTTGATTATTGCTTTGATTTTAGTGAAGATAATTCCTAAACCCGTAAAAATAGGAATTCAGTAAATAATGAATGTCCAGTGAATTTCACTGACAGCCTTTGCACTTCCTGACTTTTATTTTCTGCTTATTAAAGTGTGAAATAGGTTGAATATGAAGTTAAACCATACCATTTTATGTAGATTTTAGTTGCCATAAATGACTAGGCATTTAAAGCCTTGTTTTGGGAAGCCACTTAGGCTAAGTACAAACATTCAGTCACCCCTTGCAGGCTGGAACTCTGCCAGCCTGCAAAGGAAAAGCCACAGTTTCCCATGCTTTTCTCTTTTTTCAAGGAGAATCCATTTTTAAAGTTTTGTTCATGACCCTTTCATATATTGTTGTGACCCACTTTTGGGTTGCAAACTACAGGTTGAGAAATGCTGATCTAGTTCAGCTCCCTGCTCAAAGCAAGACCATCCCCAACTAGATCATTCCAGCCAGGGCTTTGTTGAGTCAAGTCTTAAAAATCTCCAAAGATGGAGAGTCCACCACCTCTCTAGGTGACCCATTCCAGTGCTTCACCAGTGAGAGTTTTTCCTAATAACCAACGTGCACTTTCCTTGCTACAACTTGAGACCATTGCTCCTTGCTCTGTCATCTGTCACTACTGAGAACAATCTAGCTCCATCCTCTTTGGAACCACACTTCAGTAGTTAAAGACTGCTATCAAATCCTCCCCCCCCAGTCTTCTTCTGCAGACTAAATAAGCCCAGCTCCCTCAGCTTCTCCTCAGAAGTCATGTGCCCCAGTCCCCTAACAGTAATAATTTTGTCTACTCATTTTCAGCCTCCTATCAGTGAAGAATCTGGAAGAAAAAGACCTCCTAATGGAATTGGTGAGGAGACTGGTCATTCTAGACACCAGTCTAATTCCTCTACTAAGACGCTGCTTGCTGCTAGACCTTCAGCTGCCAATCAATCTCAGGTCCCAGGAAACTTTTCCAGTAGGAATACTTTACAGGAGTCTAGTGACAACATAGGCCACAACAGTGCTGCCACAAAATCAGTAGATGGTGACATGCCTGAGAAATAGACGTAAGATGTGCTTGTGCCCTTGAGATCATCCTTTACATCAGTGTTTAAGTATAGCATCTTCAGGGGAGCTGTTACAATGCGCGATTAAAAACAAAAGTATAGGAAGACGAAGGATTGCATTTTTCTCTTTCACAAGATTAAGTCTGAAATACTTTCCCTAAGTGAGTAGTTCTTTGTTTTGGGATCATCAGAGATCCAGATGAAATGTCTCTTTGGTTTCAGTATTGCTTTCCTCAAGCTGTTGTTTACAAAACCTGCATTCCTGTACTATATGCAAAAAAAAAATGTCTGGGGATGCCTTACATTTCAGCTCATACTTCTTAAAGAAGGTGTGGTATATCCAAGTTACTTACTGAGCTTTCTTTACCCAAATTTTCCCCTTGTTGGTTAATATTTTTACTTATCAAAGCCAAAAGATTACATATATGTATATTTTTAAAATATAGAGAAAGAATCTAAGTTGGTAGGTTCACTCTTAAATATTTAACTCTAAAAAGGAAATATTTTATATGTATGCATAAAGCACACTCGGGATGTGCAACTGTATGGAAGTGTGAGCACTTGTGGAGTCTGTTTCATTATTTTGCTTTCTACTTAACCTTCATAGTTAGTGTTGTGGGTAGGCATGGAGTTTTCTGAGTGGACATCATCAACTGGTTTAGTTTTAGGGAAGGTTTTATTCAAAGGTAAAATACAGGGAAGAGAGGGTATGTTAATTTACGTATGGTCCCAAATTAACTACATATAGTTGCTGGTTGTGCAGGCTGATAAAATTGCAAATAACTTTCAAGTTGTTTTCACTTTCAGAGAGGTTCTTGTTTTGTTTTACTTTTCATTTAAGTTTGCTTTATTTTATGCTTGTAAAGTGCTGTTCAAGAGAGTTATAACATATTTTTTAAGACTTTATTTTCATTTCAACTAATATAATATTTTAGTTCTGAGGGAAATTTAAAGCACTCATTATAAATTTATATTTTGCTCTATTTTAGAATCTATTTGAATTAAGTTGTAGTTTTAAATTCTGCTAGTTAAAAAATGAAATTTCAAAAACAGGTCTAAAATATAATTTCATAAAATGTAAATGTTTAAATACTAAGCATTAGTTACTATTGATGGGAGGTAGGAAAATTATTAGTTGTATCACCTGTACTTTCCTTATTTCTTTCATTTATTTTGATCCAGAAGATTTAGTATTCCTGCAGAAATGAATTCTCTTTCCTAATGTAGGGGGGAAGATGGGGATTATTTCATTTTTGCTATACTAGTTAACTGCAGAAAAGCCTTAGGTTAACTGTAAAGTTAACTTTCTAGAAGTTATGTCTAACACTGATGCCTTAAATGTTGGGAGTATCCTAACTGGTTCAACATCCCTACATTGAGTTTTAAACTTGTAATGGATGTCAGAGGTTTATGTAACTCAAATCTGTTTAAAAAATCCACTCATTGCCTTGTGAATCTCAATAGAACAATTATGAATATGTACACATTTGTAAATGAGCATATAGCAGTGGCCTTCCCAGTAGTTAGTTTCCATACAAAACTGAGCTGTTTAGAAGCGTCTTAATTTAAAAGGAAAATAGGTATTAACATTAATTGTTACCTACAAACATTTTAAATAGCATATTTTCAACATGCTGAAGTCATACATCTCAAACCTGTTTAATCTATGCCTCCTATCCATAAAAATGATGCAAATGTAAATTGGGATTGAAACTGTATATACAAGTAATAGAATTTTTGCTTTCACTTTTTCATTGAATGATATGTGTGCATATTTAGCTTTTAGCGTGTGTAATTTGTGGTATATCTTTGCAAATTTTATAAAAATACCAAAAAGCTCCAATTGTGTTGTGGTTTTTGTGTTAAAAGATCTTTTCTCTCTGTCTCCTTAAAGTAACCTTTTCCAGATCACAGTTCACAACTCAGGCTTCAGATGTGGTTGTGAACTTTTTTACATACATGGATGAAAATAGGTGAAAACAGAGGCTGAGCATATCCAGGCTTTCGGCAGTTTTGACTGAATCATTTTCGTGAGAAGTAAACTAAAGTTTTTTATGCTGTGAGAGGACAAGTCTAGCATCACGTGGATTCCACTTTTGGTAAATGCTCCATACATGCAAGATCTGAGGTTTTTTTGAATAGTGGCATCCATGCTTCATAGTAAGTAATGTAAAGAGAAGAATTGCAATAACTGCCTTTAAATTACTTCTTGCTCCCTGTGACAGTTAGATGGAACTTCTGCATGGGCTGTACACACTGGTTGCATCTACACTTGCAGTTTATTATGCAGTAGATTCATTTACTGCACAGTAAAGCATCATTGTCTACACGTGCATGGCAATTGGGACAGTGTAGACTAATTTACAGCACCACTGGATAATCCCATCAGACACAGGTACTATTTGAAAGTGGATAGTATCCGACTGCACTTAAACACAAATGTAGGCAGTGATGTTGGGATTAGTTTACTCTGGCTTAAATTGTTCCAGAGTTTATTTAGTTGCATTCATTACAGACGTGGACGTGCCCACTTTGTGCTTGTTTTCTCTGGTTAGTAGGTTATAGTGGTATGGTCGATTCTTAGCATAGTTACACCATTAAAAGAGTATGAAAGAAAAGTTGTTCAGATCCAGGTAGTGACAGATGCTACTCCCTTCCTTCTGTCATGGCTTTGTGTGGTTGAGATAACCAGGATTTATATTTTGCTCCTTCTATACTGGGTAGCTGTTCTGGATGGACACTTTGGGCATGTCCAGACAAGTGCAGAGGTGCGGTATGTGGTGCCACAGACCTGTCTGCGGCTCCACACACTGAACATGTAGGCATTTCCCAAGCTGCTACTTTGCAGCACAGGGGGGCTTTTTGACCCTGGAAGATCCTGGAGTAAAAAAAATCCACACCAAGAAAAAAGTGGGGCAGCGCACATTGCGGCAGCGTGTGCTACCCAAAACCAGAGCCTGACCAGCCAGAGCCACACTTTGACTGCCGGCCAGGCTTCCTGCTCCTGCTGTGGCTACAGCTCCTGGAGGCCCCCAGGACCCCAGGTAAGGCTCCTGGGGCCAGCACAACTGCTGGCCCCAGCCTCTCCTATTCCCCACTTCCCCCCTGGGGTAACCTACCATGCACCAGAACACACACGGCACAGGTATTTGCCAAGGACAAGTTTTGCTTCTCATCCTCAGGGAGAAACCCGTTCCTGCTTGTCTGGATGCACCCTTGAGGTGCCCTCTTCTGCCTTAGTCAAGTGTTATACTTAGTGCTAAGAGAGGAAACAGAAACAAGGAAATTGCTTCTTAAACTCTTCCTTCTGGAGAAATCCATAAGGGCATGACAATTACCAGACTTTCTCTGTGTGCTCTGGTCAACTGTGGATCCATTCCTGACTCATTTGACTTCAAGGAACTCTTCCTCGGCCTTGAGGCCTGAGCTAAATTTGAGTCCCGTTGCTGTCATCAGACTTTCTGAAATGGTGCCACAGTTATGCCTTGAATGTTATTAAAACAAACATTCTCCCCACCTCCCTTTTTTCTTCCTCCTTTCATTTTATCTCTCTCTCACTGATACTGTGTGTAAACATGAGCCAGACAGTTTGTCAGCAATCAGTACTGCCCCTGGATAGTGTAATGGAATCAGACAAAACATTTGGCACTGATGTTGCTGTTATCTTCAGTATTTTTTGCTGTGCCATCTACTGGTAAAACTCAGTGTTGCTAAGTAAATTGTCCAGTTCTACTAATTTTGTCTCAAATAAGCACATTTCTATCTCAAACAACCTACAGAAGGAGCTTACCCTGCTTCTCCAAATAGTCTTTTTTCCTACACAGCTGCCTTTTGTAATTTTTTTTTTACTTCTTTAAGATGCAATACAAAAATCAGAAAAACATACCAACTTGTACACTATAAACTGTCACAAACAATAAGCAATGCAAGGAAAAAGAACAAAAGGAGGGACAGAAGAAGAGAAGCATACAATGAGCAACAATCTAGAGTCCTCCCAAAATTTTGCACTAAACATGAAGGAATTAATCCTGTTAACCTTGACTCTCCGTAGATGCTAGCTGTGCCATCTCCAACTGTACCACATTTTAGCCTTTGGAGATATCGCTACACTGAAAAGTAGGACATAATCCTACATGTTACTAATGAGGCCTGCAATAGGTATGCAATTTTATAAGGATTCAATCTTAATTCCTTGAGGATAGACCCAAGAACATACATATTTGTCAAAGGTATCAAGTGTTATGTTCAAAACCATGTTAACTTCAGTTATAATTTCTTTCCAAAAGTAATTAAAGGGCATGATCAAAATGTGACCAAGGGTCGCCTGCTATACATCACATCTCCAACATGTATCTATTGGCAGCATATTTAATTTTTTAAGCTAGGAGGAAGCCTTGTGCAGATGAAAACATCTTTGATTAAGTCTAAGGTCAATTGTTAATGTTCAAATGTTGTGAATTGCTGATTTACATTAAGATCGTCATCTAGGCTGCTTTCAAACAAAAACACCCCTGCAGTGCCTTAAATTTTGCGCCCAGCACATGGCCAGACGAAGCAGCACGTTAGTTGGACCTGGCTCACCCAACATCTGCATAGATTGGGTGCTTTAGTGGGGCTTTTCTGGTACTTTTATCTAATAGCTGATTGAATCCTCGTTGTAGAAAAGTACCAAGAAGCTCCACTGAAGCAACCAATCTATACAGACACTGCAGAGCCAGATCAAAGTAACCTGCTGCCTCTTTTGGCAAAGTGTGTTTTTTGGGGGTTTTTGGTTTGTATTTTTTTTTAACGTCTGCAAGCAGGCTGGAAACCTAGGTTTCCATTCCATTTAAGTCTTAATTAGTGACTGTCTCTTCTATTTGGATGGTAAAGCTAGCACTTCTGGCCTGTTGGTGTCAACGGCAAGAGTAACATGATAGAACTGTAATTTAGCTGTCCTACAGCTGATTAGACCTTATCTACACACAGCACCAGTAATTTAACTAAACTGGTGCAATCCTATTTGTGTACATGTAATGGGTGCTTAAGGTTAATTATGTATAACTCTATTACATACTCCTTTATTTCGCCAGATTTTAGTTTCTTCCATAAATTTTCTGGCTTGAGCCAGATCACTTAGAATAATCAACAGAGGTTTGGTTATTTTCAACTGCATGTTCGTCTTCATCTCAAGTAGTAGAGTGTAGAATCTGTTCTGACAGTATTACATTTTAGGAGACTCATAGCAGGAGTCAGTGCTTTCACTGAATAGTTACTTGTAGAAGGTGGGGACCTACAGTCTGTCATCACAGGTGCCTCTCTCCAAGATTCATTCAGCCTGTATCCTACAGGCTATGGCTACTGCAGCGTTTTAAGTTCTTTAATAGGCTAAGTATCTGACTTTCAATAACTGCACATGTAAAGTCATTCTTTTTTACATGCTATGGGACATTTAACTTGTGCAATCACTTAAGTTGTTAGGATAGAGTTAGGTTGCAGCTATCTTTTCAGCTCAGTTACACAGCTTTACTCAGTTGTCCATGTGAGAACACAAATAATACAACCAGTCAAGAAGAGGAGAGAGAGAGAGAGAGAGAGAGAGAGAGAGAGGGAAGTCTGTACTACTCATGCTGATTGGTGGTTAAATGTACCATAGCCACTTGAAAGTTGGCATCTTACAGGCAGGAACATATCGAGATAATTAGGCTAAAAAAGGAGGGGAAATTTTACTTTCTTCTCTCATTGAGAGAATGAATGTGGATAGCCATTAGCAGAAGCCCAGGAGAGTCTATCTTGAAGGTTGTTGATTGGCTTGACATGCATTTGAACCTCAAATATATAGGACCAATTGGAGGCTTTTCTTTCCTCCTGCACCCAACACATTTCTCTCTACAGTTCTAGATCCACTATCCTTCACTATATCCACTACACTTCGAGCTTCAGTGTCTTGTCTTACCTGTGCTCTAACATTTGTTTAACATCTCTCCCACTTAGAGAGTTGGTGCAATAAAAAAAAATGATGCAAACAATCCTTGTTTCATATATATTCTGGATGGTCACTGCTCCAGCAACACCCCAACCCTTACTGAAAAGTGTTTTAACTTTTATATCTTAAAAAAAAAATAGGACTTAGTCTTCCATTCTTTGCTAAGGGGGAAAAGAGCTGAAGCCTAGTCAACTTATGTCAGCTGGAGTCTTGATGCATTTTCAGGAAATTATCATAAATTTATAATCTGAAATAAATTCATAATTATTATCATAATCTGAAATCCTATAAACATATTTAGTAGAGAGTTTTGGTTGCAATTCGTAGTATTAAGTGTTTAGGATATAATGATCAAAGCTTTTGGAGAGGTGATAGAAGAAAGGGTAGAACAATGGCTGCAGCCGTTGTCCTTCTAGAACTATAAAATAATTATTTTAATTATGGGGAAAGTAGTAGCAAAGAAAAGGCTGCTGAAAACTGTTTTTTATTTTAGTCAAGTTCTTATAAATCCTAGTATCTGAATACCTTGAAGTATGCGCTAATTGTTACTGTACCTGCCAAATGTGTTTCCATCCTCTCTTGGGGAAGAATATGGTGTAAGAAGGGTTTGTTGTGTTTTGTTTTCTGTTTTGCTTGGCTGGGAAGGGAGGGAGGTAGGCAAGAGGGTTGTTTTTTTCTTTTCGTAACACATTAGTATGTGTTGGGGAAAAAGCAAAGAAATTTGCACTATAGTGCTGAGATTGATGTTGGGCCTTAGTCCCTGGGATCATTTGTTAGGCAGTTTTAGGTCAGCACTGAGAGCTGTCTTCATTGTAGCATCCCTTATGCCTGAGGAGCATAGTTGGACTACAGTGATCATCTCAGCCCTTGAAGTGATGTAGCCCCAAGTTATGTAGTACTTTGTAAGGACCAAGAATTTGAACTTGATTTAGAATTTTATGGGAGGCGGTGTAGAATGGAGGGCTGCTTTCTCCTTCCACTGGCTTTTGTTATGAAGCTGATGCTGCCCTCCAGCCTTCTACTAAGAAGTGTCCTAGGTGCTTGTGGGCTTCCTGCCCAGATGCATTGCACTATGTTACTATACAAGGCAAGATGAAAAAGACCTGACTAAGAGAAGCTAGTTGGTTTATTCACAGCTGATTCCATGTGAAAACGTACCCTCAACAAGAAATGCCAGAGAATATTTAGAATCTATGGATTTATTTGACCAGTTGTGGGTGTGTACTTTCAATCAAGGGCAGACAGAGTTCTTTGGGTGAATCTGATCTTTTATTAGACCAACTTAAATAGTTGGGAAAAAAATTTTTTAGTAAGCTTTCTTGTTTAAATCCTTTGTCAGGCTGAGGAAGCCTCTGCAATTTGTGTGCGCACTCTTCCTGGATGGAATGAATAGTAAAGAAGCTAGAGACTAGTGTACATGTAAGATAGGCAGTCAGTGCAGATGTAAATTGAGGAGTCAGTGGGTGAGAGATGGGCTGGATGGGTGGGGAGAGAAAAGGGGGATGAATGTAGCAGTTGAATAGTGGGGAGGTACCTGGGGATTTGGATGTCAGGCAGGTTAATAACGTGTCATAAATCCAAGGTCTATATTTAGTCCATGATTTTTAGTATCCAGGAGGTTGATGAAGTGGAGTTCATAGGCTCGTCTCTGAGATGTGTTGTGTACATTTCCTTTTAGGATTAGGATTGAGAGATTGTGGGGAGAGTGGTTTTCTTGTGAGAAATGTGCCCCCACAGGTAGTTGGGTATTCTTGTCTTTGATAGATTTCCAGCGTGCATTCATTCTGGTGTGCAGTTGTTTGGTCTCTCCTATGTATTTTCCATCAGGACATTTAATGCACTGGATGAGATGTATTACATTTCTGGAGGTGTAGATGTAAAATGCAGGGATGCTGATGGCCCTGTTGTGGGGTGTAGTAATTGTGGGAGTGGTGATGTGTTGGCGGGTTTTCAATCAAGGGAGACTGCACCATGTCCTTCTCTTGCTCGATTTTACTTTAAGTTGGACATTCTTCATCCATCAGCAAGTGCCATCCAGTTTCTGGACTTGCAGGATTCCTCCATATGCCATATAAAAGTATTGACAGAGTGCCTGTATCATCCAGGAAATCACTGACATGGTGATTGTGATCATTGGTGTAGTAATTACAATGTTGTAAGTTTACAAAACATTATAAACTTCACTGGTTCTGAGAACTCTTTCCTTAGAAGTAACTTCACTTCCTTCATTTAAATAGTGATTTAAGATTAGAGACAAGGTGCTGTGTAACCTTGACTTCCAGAAAAAATGAAGTTATCTGATTTGAAGGACACATGGGTATTTATTTATATTAAAGAAAGAGGAATATCACAAAGTGAGGAGCCAAAAAGAGGAGATGGACAAAAGGGGAAGGGAGGAGATGGCTTTATCTGAAAATTCAGATAATGAATACTTGCATGCAATTAGAGAAGAAACCTGGGCTCTTAAATGCTAACGTATAATGTATTCTGGAACTATGAAATGGCACCCATGCCACAAATTAATTGTAAAATCAAATTCTCCATTACTTCCCTCAGAAGAGAGGAGGAAAATGGAATGCTTGAAGAGGTTGCTAGATAATGACAAACAGGTATATCAATAGATAATTATCTTTTAAACACACAAGAGTTTTCTCCCCCTCTGTTGAAATTCCTCTAATCAAAGAGAGGCTGAGGTGATCATTTTCCTAACTCAAACTCAAGCATTTTACTAAACACAGCATCTGCAGATGGATCTAGATAAAAAAAATGTTACCAAATGAGGGCAGGTCAGGGGGAGTCTGTTTTTCATGTTCAGAAGTATCCAACTCTTTATGTTTTGGGACACAATTCATCCTTTGGGCATAGCAAAACTGAAGACCTTGAGTGTCATTTCCAAATGTTAGGCTAAATTGCCTGTGCAAATAAGACAAGTTTATATGGACCAGATAGTTTAAAAGGGATCTTGTAGTGTTTCTTAGTTGGAAAGAACACAGGCACTAACTCACATTGCACCCAATGGGAATTTTATTTCTGAAATGCCTTAAAAAGGATTAACTATACAGACACGGCCATCACAGCATAAAAATGCTCAGCTTGCATCTTGTCACCTTAGACAAATGTAATGTCTGCCTGGAGTTGTGTTATATGCAAGTAAATCATAATTTGTGCAGTGAGTTGTAACATGCCAGACATTCAACCAGTTTTATCGCTGGATAAAAATTGAAGATCAGTCACAAAGTTGCTGCCTGGAAGCATTCAGCTGCTAGCTAATAGCAAGTAGCCAGGACAGGACAATGGTATATATATATATATTTTTTTTTTTTAAACTGAGTTACCCCTTGATGTTTGCTTACATTTTCAAACACTTGCATATTCTTGCAAATATTACCTGTGGCCTTTTAAAAAAAAATCTAAAACACATACAGAAACTACTTTATTCTAATAGTTGATCTGGTCTGAACTGAGTATTGGTCCTTTCTAAGAAGTGTCATGGCTTTTTTTTTTTTTTTTTACATGAAAAGGACAGGTTCTGGTAGACTTTAATTTTGCATATGATGAAGAAATAACTTCATCTTATCTCTAGCAAGGAGTCCACTGTGTCAGCAAAACTCTACAAGCATTGGGGTTAATTAACAAATGCTAGTTCTCAATCTGATCTGTTAACACAAGGCCATAACAAGCAGGCTATTTTATAGTACACTAAAAATCAAAGGATCATCAGGGTTCAAACAAAAAACAACCCTAGGATATTCCAAAGTGAGAGTACATCTCATTCAAGAGTCTTTTAGCTTAGCACATGTTCTTGTTGAAATGGCCAAGATTTGAATCAGGAAGACGAGACTAAATCATAAACTATGGCTGGCCTTAAACTGCAGAAGTTGCAAGTGTTTGAAGTCTTATCACTCTGACCAAAGAAAGGCAGGTTGCATTATATAAAACAGATTTTGAACAGGTTCTGGTATCTAAATACAAGGTGGTTAAAATCCCTTATTGATGAAGAAAGTCTTGTAGTGAAATCCTTATAATTGGTGCTAGTTATTTTCCTTAGCAGAAAGTTCTTCTTTCCTTCAGAGGTCTGGGCTGAACACTGAAGGAGCCGAGCCCTTTGCTCTCTACATCTGAACAAATGCAGCAAAAGCCTGCAGCAGACAAGGACAGGAGGTCCAAGACCCACTTGAACCTGAGTCAGCAATCACATATACCCTTTCTAGTCTGACTGAACAAAACATCTGGTCCAAAGATGTATAGATTATTGCATCTCTCATTTCTCCCTGTTTCCAGGCAAGTGTCCCCTTCCCTATGCCAGCAGGTGGCAAGTAGCAAAATGGCAGCTTCATCAAAAGTGCTGTGGTGAACTGATTGATGGCAGGTTTGGGCCATCCACAGACAGGGCACCTTGGCCATAGCTGATGCACAGTTGGTTGATTTGCTGAGGAGCTCTTACCTAATGCTTGATGGTTCTGACCTCCCAAAACTCTATCCTGACCAAGGAAGTATTGACCAGAATGCTAGTAAGAAGAAAAAAAAATATTAAAGCCTACAGAAAAATCAAAGAGTGAGTGCTCCTAGGTCATGAAGGTAGTATCTATGGTGTAATGCATTAGAAATTTAAAAGGAAAAAAGGGAGGACGTAGTCTTGAGATAAACGTATCTCATTCCTGCATCTCCCCCCACCAAAAAAACAGTACAAATACTACACAGCATCCCACATCAGTCTTGAAGGGACCTTAAGACAGCAAAGAGACAAGTGAACCCCCCAGTTAGGAATCCTTTAATTTCCAGTTTATATTTGTCCATAGCCAGATTGTAGCCATCTTATCTTACACTGGTGGGGGATTTTCTAACATTCATGTTATTAATATAACAATTGCATCCCCTCGCAACCTTTTGTTAAGCGATCGAAGCCAAGGCCCTTCAGTCTTTTTTCATAAGGAAGGTCTCCAGAATTTTCTTCCCCATTTTAGTGGCCCTGCTTTGTATCTGTTTTAATTTAAGATGGTTTGGTTTGGTTTTTTTGGAGCATGGGCAACATGCAGTATTCTAAAATCAAGGGTGTCCAACCTTTTTGAATGTGGGGCTGGATCATGAACTTTTTATCACCCAATGGGCTGGCAAGCCATTTCAAAGACCTCACAGGAAGTGATGTCACATGACCTTTGACACCAATGAAGTTGCAGGAAGTGACAATGAAACAGGTCTGGAAATGTGGTCTAAAATCCAAAATAAAAACAATGTAAAAGCAACAATGAAATAATACCAAACACTTGACTAAAATAAAAACTTTCACATAATGAAAGAAGCATAATGCAACTCAACAGATCAAATGTGGAAAAGATATCAGCCAGAGTGGAAACTAATCAAAGGTGGAGGGATGTGTCCCAGTGGGAGACACCTGTGCTGCGCTTTGCAGCCTCTGCTGCTCATTGCCTTGCAGGAGGTGGGAGGGAGTAGGGAGCCGGGGGCTCAGTGCATCTGAGAGGCTGCGACCGAAACTTGTGGCTCAACTAGGCATGGCTGCAGCTGGGCACAGAGTGGAGTGGTAAGAGCCACTGCCACGCACAAGAGCCCCAGTCCGGGCTCCTCCAGGCTGCAGCCTCCCCAGGATGTGCAGGAAAGGCGCCCTCTGCTCCACTGCCACCTACCTCGCTGCCCTGGCAGCCGTGTGCGCCCGTGCCACCCCCTGCTCCCGCCTTGGCCCCACGCAGCTCTGCCACTGAGCCCCAGCCCTATGGTGCCGCCCCCACCTGCACTCTGCAATCTCACACTCCAACACCTTTAAAAGCACTGGGGACCTGCCTCTGATGCCAAGCTTCCTATAGTGCACTTTGAAGGAATCAGGGCAGTAGGAGCCAGAACCTCTCTCACCACCACTGGCTTCTGCAGGTGCCCCCTCAGACACAGGAGGCACCAGTTGCTCATGTGCACAATGGTGTCTGATAAATTTTATCCCAGATCCCCACAAAGACCTGTGTCCTTCAGTGCAGGTCTGGCATGGCAGGGTGTGCAGTTTTTGGGATCTGGGATAAAATCTGTCGGATCCAATCACACAGTAAAATTAACATCTGCCATGGGCCTGGCCTCTGTCACACTTAGTGGCAAGACTGAGAAGGACCCACCACTTTTACAATAATATTTTTTCAGAAACTCCAAAGTGGTATATGCACTTAGATTTAATAGATGACAAGATCTGTCCATTAGAGTAACTAAGCTGGGAAGCTACTGGCTAACAACCAATTCAGATTATTTCTGTGTAAACACAACCCTTTAGTTAGTGAATGTCTAGGAAGTGCTAGACATTCAATGGGGCATTTCCTTAGATAAATACAATTAGGTATGTAAAGCTAGTGAACCAATTCAGAAAAAAATGACTATAAGTACTTGATAGACACGAACAACTGGGTCATGTAGTGTTTCTGTATCTCATTACAAACTTTACATAGGCTGGATTATACTATTTACTAAAGTAGACAGTATGTTTGGTCCTATTCAACTTGTTATGGAATAACTACATAAATTAATAAGGTGTTCAACACATTTAATCGAAGTCAAAGGATTTATCTACAGAACACTTTATTAAAAAAAAAAAATCAGAACACAAATTGCTCATTTCTCCCAAACAGACGGGAGTGGGGAAGTTGCAACTGCCACTCGCAAATGAAGGGCTAAGTGATTCATACTTCCAATTTCTATAAAGAACAAATATATTCACAAAAATGGGAAATTTGACTTACATATATAAAAAAATACCAACATTCTTCACACACTCATTTCCCCTTAACAAGGCTGGGGTTGTCCTTTTTGAGAGGGCATGCTATAAAATCTAAACAGATCAACACTTCCTTACTTCAGACATTTTGCAGGCTATTATTGCATGTTTTGTAACTCATCTTTTCTGAAGGGGATCATCCTCTTTGTCACAACGTTACTATGATTAAAAAGCAGCCTTTTGAAGAAGGTTAGGCCTTTAATTTGATTATATTTTTGGTGCCACTTGCCTCTGGCTGACAAAACAGTTATTTACTTGATATGTTGAAAAATAATGGATAACAAGGAAAAAAAATCTTAAAAATGGATAGTTCAGATATTTCTGGTAAGAGTGGAGCACATCACATTTATTGTGCGTTATACCGCTATTCCCTAGCGCTGCATTTCTACATGTACAGTTAGCTTATATTCTTGATGTTACATATATGTATTTAAACCAAACCTTACCTGAATACATATGATATCTTCTGAGGATTTCCCCACTAAGAAGGATTACTAGAAAAGGTAACAATAAAGCTATGTACAGCTTTAATAGCAGTGCAAAAACATTTCACACTCAAGATTTTTTCCTTATTCTGTATTTCAACATATTCCAGTGCACTGGCCAACATCATCTATACAAAGTCTGACAGCACATTTGGTATTGTACATGCTTTATTAAAATGGTACTCATATTTACAATATCTGCAGAAACAATCCCTCCCAAGTCTTGCATTCAGACAGACACGCACACACACACACACACACACACACACACCCCGACCCCTTCAATTTCTAGGGGTGTGAAGGCTAGGCTCCCAAAAGTTGAACAACTCCTTGGGGGCATAGGGGAAAGGAAAGATTTTTGTTTTTAATTACTTAAAAAGAAGCATGGGAGAATGCATTTGGCCATCACAATGCTATTAAGTTTATGTATATTAACATATGGCAGTAACACTGAGTATTTCCTTTACATTCTATACACAGAATGACATCAAGGTTTTCCAGTCAACAAAACATTCTAACTTCAGTCTCAATGCTGCTTGTAGTGACTATTAAGCCACGTATTTGGGGCGTTCCCTTAAAACAATTCAAGTCTATGCAAGAGAAATAAGGCACAATTAATATTGATTTTCATTGAGGGGGAGGGAACGGGTAAACGGCAGGCTTCAGATAATAGTTGCTCAGAGGAAGTAATTTTGCCACATCCTTTAGAAAAAGAGTACTAATTGTACCCCATTCTAATCGGCATGGACTTCTCTTAGAAAACTGAAGTTTTTATGCCAGGGCTAAACACAGCCACATACAAAACAAATTTGGAAATTCACATTTTAAACACCAGTTTCAGTAGCCAAGATTACTGGTATCGATGTACATGTGTACATTTTACTCTAATACTAGAGGAGAAAACACATGAAACGGGACTCAAGCTTTTCATTCTCTTAAAGACTCACTCCTTTGAAGACCCTGTAAATAGGTACTATTTGAGGCTTCCACTTACTGATATAAAAAAAGAGAACAGCCTTTTTTGTCTTTTAAATCTTTGTCCCTCTTCATTAATGAAGCCTTACTAGACATTACAAATCAATTGCAACAGAAGAGTTTGGCAGCACAAATAATGCCTAGTATTCAAATCTTCATTGTGAGTATATGTTATTTTCCTTGTACAAAACCTGTTGAATGTTTTTCGCAGCAGATGAACTGTACCCAAAGATGCAAGATATTCTGTGATGGGGAATAGAGGTTGCAGTTCCGAAGGCCCCTGACTTTGGTTGTTTACAAAGTTCAATCCTGTTTAGTGTGATCCTTGGTATCTTCCTCATCTGTATATTCTGATGGTTCTTCCCCTGGCTTTAGGAGTCTACCTACGTAGTCATATTTTTCTGGAAGAGACATTTAGGATTCAATTAAAAACCAAAGGAAGCCATTTTCTCCTACTTAATTTGCCCTGAAGATCTGCTATTTCCTTCCACACTAAAGATCATGATCCTAACATTACTGAAGAAATCAACAGAAGTTTTATCATTGACTCTACAGCAAGATCAGACACTAAAATAAGTCTGAAGTGCTTCCACTAGCCCAGAGGTTCCCGAGTTGTGGTATGCATACCCCTGGGGATATGCAAGATATCACTGTGGGGTACCTGGGAGAAACTGTGTAATGGCAGATTTAAATTTTCATTATAATAATTGGCATGTAAGGGGTTAAAATATAAACGATGTTGGTAGGCGTACAGGGCCAGCTGGTAAATCTGGAAGAGCACATGCAATAAGAGAGTTTGGGAACCTCTGCACTAGCCTATTCTTTGACCGCTTCAGTCATTCCCTCTACCTTTCCCCACACCTGATGAGCTGTACCACACGATGGGTATAATTCTTCCCTTCTCCCCTGTGCATCTCCATTAATTAGCCATCTTTGATTTCAATGAGGTTTGAAAATGTTGGTCTTTTTCCAGGTTATGTTTCTTTGCCTGACAGAGATAATCCAGATTATGGCACAGGGGATCAACAGTATGCCAAAACAACTGATCCCATATTTAAAGAGAAACTAAGCCAAACATCTTGTAAATACAGGCCTCAGGCTATATTAATTATACTGAGACCTTCTGTAAGTTAGATAAGTGCCATTCTACGTTAATTCTTGCAGTCTGAAGTGATGCTCTCTAACTACTTAAACAAAAATGTTTAAAAACAAAGGCCGGTATTACAATTCCTCTGAAAGTAAAACTCAAACCACAATTCCCTTCCCAACAAGATAAAGCGGTGAAGGTGCTGTAAATTATACAGAGCAGGCAACAAATAGTTCTTTAAAATCCACCCCATATTCCAATTTGTTGTGTTGACTGTTTCCTTACACTGGTAAACCATAATTTGTTAGTTTGAGAAGTTACCTTTAAATTGCATTTCCCATTCTCTAACACTTTCCATCTGTACAGCATTTAAGTCCGATAGGTCGTCATATTCATCTCTGAGTGCATCCTTATCTAGACAGAAAGTTGCTAGTCCCCTGGAGGCATCTCTGCCAGCAAATATTCCGTAAGGACCCTCTGGAAATAGAAGAAAAATGGACGGCTTTCAAAAATGTATTTCTAGATTACTTAATTTACAGAGTTGAGGTCAGTAATTTCTTGGAATGTAAAGAACAGGAAAAAAACATGAGACTATACAGCCCATATTTATGTATTAAGTTTTGGGAATAACAGTGGTCTAATGCTATACAGCATTTAATGACACTAACTCAGCAATGGATATTGCTATAAGACAGACAAGGAAGGAGAAGCAACATTAATATATTATAATATAATAGTCTTGCTTCTCCTTGTGTGTCTGTGTAAATATACAAGCAATATCATAGTGATTTTTATATCTAATTAATACATAGATATAAACATCACTATAATATTGCTCTTATATTTACATACACACAAACACGAGAAGCAAGACTACTATATTATACTATATTAGCTTCTCATTCCGTGTGTGTGTGTGTGTGTGTGTGTGTGTGCGCGCGCGCGCGCGAGAAAATAAAAGTATCTGAGAAAACCAAACCGGAGGTCAATTGTCTTCCGATGAGTCAGTCATTGCAAGTTTTCCTGTTTTTTGTTTAGGGCCTTATTTCCGAGTGAAATGCACTTGGAAAGACTTCAGCCAGGAGGTGCGCACATGCCCCTCCTGTGCTGTTCTTGGCTGGAATTTAACAAAATGCTGCAACTTCCTCTAGTGCCAGCTGGGGGCAATAGAGCAGGCTGCAGCAGTCTGCCACTTCCAACTCCTGATCCTGTGAAGGAAGGAGAATGATGAAAGGGAAGGGAGGGCAGATGAAAGGTGTAAGCAAAAGTCCAGAAGTACAGGGGGGCATGTGGAGGGGCTCCAAACCCCCTAAACCTTTCCTCTCCCTCTAAGAAAGGGAGGAGGAAGAAGAGGGGATTGGGGCTGGAAGGATTTATAGGGAGGTAAGTCTACCTCCAGCCCACCTGTCCTTTATTTATGTACACATAACCAAAAGTAAAACACTAAAAAATAGCACTTCATTTAAGGAGGTGCTATTTTGGAGTGTTTCAGCCACTTCTGGAAGTTTCAAAGGGCTTGTATGTACCTATAGCTGGCCCTCTGAAATGTTTCAAAGGCATTTGAAACATGTTACCTGTTTCCACACCCAGAGATATTAAGCTTCTACTCATCAGTGGCTCCAAGTCCTGAGTCTTAACTAGAAATTCACTGTGGACTAGAAACTAGTTTACCAATGGTTGGGAGTACAAAACTCAATCTTGATATCAAGACTGAGAATAGCCTGAAGAATAACTTTAATGTAGTTTAGTGTGGAACCAGGGCATTGGAGAAACTCATTTTAAGTGTTTTAAATTAGTTCTTTATGACTCCCCAAACTTGAGTGCCAGGATCAACATTTAAGGATACCTCAGGAGGTGAAAATTAGGAAGAAAATTTTGTTTGTTTGACTGTTCTACAATGAAGATATGTGCAAATCAGAAAAAATAAAAAAACAACGCTGGTTGTGTTAACAGGTTAACCATCTAATTGTAGCCTGAAGCCTAATAACCAAGTAACAGCAACGTGGAGGGAGAGTTGTAGAACATCATACACTCTTTAAAATGGCAGTTTCCCAGTTTAAACATCCTTATCCATAATGCACAGAGTTAATTAGTTTTAAAAACTAATTTATGAGCCTCTCCTTAAAGGGAAATAATCTTTCATTCAAGGACTGGACGGTCCAATTGTATACCCATATAATTGTAAGGGTTATTCATAACAAGATATTTATATTGTATTTTTCATTTAAAAGAATCCTATTGCACTTCCTGGCCAGTACTATAGGCCTAGCATTCATTATTCACTGCTGAAATACAACTACCTTTAAAGGCTGAAACTGTCATTCTGCACCAGTCCTACAACACAAGTGGATAAACTATCCCAGTGTTCACATCCAGCTCAACATACAAAGAAAGTTTTACCTAATAGGGACTTTGACCAAAACAGATGTTAACTTTTCTCTACAAAAACTGATCAGAACATGTCTGTCAACCTCAGCATAGCAATACAGATAGCTTCTAATATACGGCATCAGCTGACCTCTTCTTTGCCTTCCCCTGCCCCCAAAGCAATACAAACATGCTAAACTAAAAAGTTTGACCAAGAGTTATCAAATAAGCATGTTTATATGGAGAGCTAAGTGGGACCCAGAGATGGACACAATTTCATGAAGAGGTTGACAGTGACACATTTTGATTTCCAGCATTCATTTTAGCTCCTATCAAAGGAAATGCATGTATTCACATCAAGAAAAAACTTAAGAAAATTGTAGCTTGTTAAAACACACAATAAAAAGCTCCCTTATACAAAGGAATTGTTTTCTATATTTAAATCAAATTAACAAAGTTTGATGTCAAAGTTGCCAGAGAATGTGACAGTTTAAATTCTGTTGAGCCGTATTCCATTGCCCTCACAGCCAGATAATTAGACCAAACTCCATAAAGAGATTCAGGTGCAAAGACACTCCACGTAACCACTCCAATTAAGAAGCCCAGCTCTAGGAGTGGAATTCAAACTTACGCAAACACCCAAATCCCCCAGACAATGTGTGCAACAAGAACATAGTTGCTCCCAAGCTTCAGTGGTGGAAAGAACAGAAAACACTGGTATTACTTCATTTATAATCTCTTGTCTCCAAATAGCTGGGAGCCGGGGGGCGGCTGTTACTAAGAAGAACAGCAATGAAATTTAGCTCTGATACTTAAATCACTAAGGTCAGTTTGCACCATTCAGACCTCATATCTTAATCTGAAGATAAATAACCCTATGATATCAGTTCTTTAAAAGATATTTTCTTATGGTTAGTAGAATCTGAACTTCTGCAGAGTATCAACCAACCAGGCTGGCAGAAAGATGCAGTTACCCCATACTGGCTCAAAACAAACAAAACATATCATACTATATTTTAAATGGGTAATAAAAATACTTTAACGGCAATTATAGAGAGGATGGAGGTGGCCTTTTTTCTCTGCGGCTGTAGAGGACAGGAAAAGAAGCAAATAGCCTCAAGATGGAGAGGAAATTTCTGACGATGATGGTGGTGAAACACTAACACGCTACCTAGAGAAGTGCTGGCATCTCCATCCATGAAAATTTTCAAGAGCAAGTTAGCCAGACACTTGGCTGGGATGGTTTAAGTCACGGATGATCTTGCCTTGAGCAAGCGGCTGGACTGGATGACCTTGTAAGGTCCCTTTCAGCCCCTACTTTTCCAATGACCTTATTTTGCACACTGCAAATGTAATGAACTTATTTTTAAGCTACAAAAAGGTTTCTTTGGACAGGATCTGCAGATGGGATCTTAAAGTAACCACCATCATTTTCTCACATACCACATGCCCCTGAAAAATATAAATACCTTGTTCTCCAAAGAAGAAAATGAATGAAGAGGGAAAAAGAAGAAATAAAAAGTTTTATATTAATCTTTTCTTAAAAACACTGGGAGGCTCCCCCTACCCCCCAGGAAAATACAGGCAGCTGCAGTAAGGGGATAGTGGAAACCTGTGGCTGTTCTGTTAAAGCCCTAGCTGCAGGGGTTTGAGAAGAGGAGCTAGGCAAGTCAGCACAGCCAGCAGCATCTGCTTGGGCAGTTCATCTGATCTGGAAGGTGCTGCTGGCTAAGCTGAACTGCCTGGCTCCCTTTTCTCAAGCCAGATGGGCAGGCAGCAGCACCCTGAAGCTAGGGGGATTAACAGCAGCCACAGGTTATTGCTCCCCACTTCTGGAGAAGGGTGGGCCCTCAGCTAACTGAGCTACAGAAGGGTCAGGCAACTTGGCTAATACCCTATCAGACCCTCTGCTCCCTACATTTCTATGTTTAAGTCACTCCAATTTCTAGTATCTAATGGTCTGAGAACTTTTTCAAAAGCCCAGAGGAAAGAGGAAATGAAAAGGAGAGCTGTATGATAATCTTAGCCAATAAGCACTATAGAAATGAATGGCAATAAACCCTAAACAATACTTTCTGAATGGTTTGCAATCTTACAACAACAGGCTATGAAAAAAAACACACAAAAATTTAATGAGTACAAAAATACAAAAGACTCATGTTCCTTTTGCTAATTCCCTATAGCCCCATTAATCTTGTACCACATTTAGTGGTGTTATAAGTCAAGGTTTGAACCCCCAAAATCTACCCTTAAATTTCCACCTCGACTTAATACACTGCATCAGGGCTCTGAAGTTGGATCAGGGAGCTCAGGCAACACCCAACCCACTGACAACCCCCCCCCAGGGGGTGCTGACACCACAAAGGGAAAACGTGAGCCTGCCCCCCCCGCTCAGGGGCTGCCTGGCCCACCAGCAGCTTAACCCCTGGCCATGCGGGGGGGTGGGGGGGACGACACCATGTCCACCGTGTGTGTCCAGGGCTGTCTGCCACCACCTTGGAAGGGGCTGCCTTGCCCCATGGGCAGTGCACCGGGGGGGAAGGAAGGCAAGGGGGTGTTGGGCAGGGCTGGCCTCTCTCCTTGCCCGCGCCTGACACCCT